TTATTTAAAGTAAATAGACAAATATTTGAATATAGTTTTGCTATACAATCACATATATTTAAAATATAACAGAAAGCAATTTTTTGTTGCAACTCTGATTGATCTGCATTTTTATTTTTTCTTCATCTTCAGTAAGGAATTTTTTTTTACAATAACGATTAAAAAATTTATAATCATTTTTTGACTTCTCTATTCTTTCTTTTTCTGGATTTATTACAGTTTAGTTAGAATATCAGCAGGGTTGACACAGGTCAGGGAAATCAGGAAATTCAGAGAAAAGTCAGAGAATTTTATTAAAAATTCTTGAATAGAATGAAATTTTTATAAAATTCATAAGAAAATTCTGAATTTTTGTGTCTTTTTTGTTTGCCTTAAAACTTTGAAATTATACCAGGAATTTTAATAAAAAAACCTTAAATTTTTTCTATTTTTGACAGTAAATTATTCTAAATAATTTAATTCTTAAAGAACTATCAAAAAATTATTACTTAGAAATTATTTAATGTATAATTTTACTTAAAAATTTCAAAAATAACTGAATTTTATGAGTTGCGTATTATACAATTTTTATAAATAATTGAATTTTGGAAAAGTTACAAATAATAGCAATTTTTAGAAATAATTAGATTTTGATAAGGTTTTAAATTCAAATCTTTGGAAAATCTGAATTTTTCATAAATAATTCTGTAGAACTAATTTTTTTTTTAAATTTTAATTTCGATTTTGTTAAAATTATTTTCAGGAATTTAAATAAAATTCTTTGCAAAATTCAATTCTTTAAAAAAAATTTTCTCAATTCAATGATTTTCAATATCTATTAGAAAATTATAATACAATTCTAAGCAAACATTCAATTATTTTCATAAATTATAAAAATGTTATAAGAATTTAATTATTTAAAATAGAATTTGCATAAATTTTTCAGAAAAATATCCATTATTTAAATTTTTTTATAAAATTCTTCGCAATAATTAAATTATTTTCACGAATATTAAAATTATTAAATTAATTTAATTTAATTATTTTTAATTAAATTATTTTCATAAATATTAAAATTCTTTTTGGAAATTCAATTATTTCCATAAATAATAAAATTCATCACATAATTTCAATTAGTTTTAATGCAAGTTTAATTGAATTCCTCAAAAAATGCAATTATTCTTGAAATTTTTATTGAAATTCGTGGAAAGAATTTAATTATTTCAAAATTTGTAAAAAAAATTCTTTATAAGAATTCAATTTTAGAAACATTTGATTATTCAATAAATTATATATTTTGGTATTTAAATAATTGAATTCTCGTAGCATTTTCGAATAAAATTTGGTTTAAGAATTAAGTTCAGTTAAAATTTTAGATAATAATTGAATATTAAAAGGATTATACCTAGCATTAACTTTTAGAAATAATTGAATTTTGAAAAGGTTTTAAATTAAAATCTATTAAAATCTGAATTTTTCATACTTTTAACTAATAATTCTGTAGAATTAATTTTTTTGAAAAAGTTTAATTGAATTTCTCTGGAAATTATTTGAAGTTTTTATTTTTTCTAATATATATTTAATTGAAAAATTTACGAATAATCAAAATATCATAAAATCGTAAAATTGAATTGTAAAGAAACGGATTTGAAAAGTTTCAATAAACTTTGTCAAAATTTATTAAAAATAATTGATTTTAAGAAGAATTGTAGTTAAAAATTTCTAGAAAATAATAATTGAATTGAAATGATGAAAATAATTTTCAAGAAGTTACAGAAGCAAAATTTTTATAAATTAGTGAATTTCAAAAGGTTTGAATTTGAAATTTTCGAAAATCTTAATTCCTATAGAAAAATAATAATGATCAACCCTGATTAGTAAAAATAATAATAATAATAATAATTTTAGGGCAATATCAATAATAAGTAAATTAATGATGACAACAAAAATTTGAGTTTTGAATTTCTATAATATTTATAGGAATGAGGACAGATTTTTTGAAATTATATTCGTAGAGACGTTAATTTGATGTACGACTGTGTGACATTTAGGTAAACAATCTACTTTCTAATTAAGCCATGTCAGTCAACCATAGTAACACTATTTGGCGCGTCTAGAACAGATGGAATGTACTCACGGGATGGTAGATGCTTGTTTCAACGAAGCATTAATTTGGAAATTCGTCCTCGCAGGGGTAGTATATGTTATCGAAGGAACATATGACGAAAACGTTATGTCAAATTACGTGCTATTACGTATAATAGTGTTCCATTTGAATTTCTCAAATTACAAATAGTAAATAGTAAGATGACGTATATTTAATATCTCAAATTCGTGCTCAAATTATTAACACAAATTTACAATTTATTTTATTAATTAACTATAATAATATATTTTTTTTACAAATTCGTTTGTCTTCTTCTGTACATTTTTTATCCTAATGATGGAAATGAAGGTAAATTAAATTAGTCTATGAATTTGAAATCAGGTTTGAATCCTTCTTCTTTACACACTAAAAAAGAAGTTTTACTTTCAGCCTCTTTTTGAGGCTGAATTTAAGGTGTAAACAGAGTCAGCCCCGTTAAACAAGGACAGACTTATGTGAAATACATGGGCTGAATTTAAGGTGTAAACGGAGTCAGACTTTTTTTTTCCTGTGTATTTTTTCATTCGAAAAAATTAACTAAAGATTCGAAATTTTTTTTTATGGTAGAGTGGAATAAGTTTAATATAGTTTTAATATAAAACCCAAATGGCTTTTTCGTCCCACTCTACTCTAAAAACGAAAATTTACTTGAATGAAAATTTATTTGAATCAAAGTTTATTTGGGTAAAAATTTATTTCAAAGAAAATTTTTTTTTGAATTAAAATTTAATTGAATCAAAATTTATTTAAATCAACATTGATATGAATTAAAAGGGTATAGCCGGATAAGTATGCAAAAAGTGCCCCCGCATGTATTTTATTCATAATTTATCCATACATTCCTACCCACTTAAAGATAACATTCTGAAAGTTTGAACTCAAAATTCGCTTTTTTGGGGGAGTTATGGAGGGGGAAAGAAAAATCAAAAAATGCGTTTTTCTCGAAAACTACTGAACCGATTTTAATGAAATTTAAATATGTTATAAATGTCAACAAAACAGTTTTAAAAAAAAATTTTTTAATTTTTTTTTCAAAAAAATCCAAAAAAAATTTTTTTTTGAAATTTTCAAAAAAAATTTTTTTTTCTTTTTTTAAGAGCGACACCTGCCATTTTTTTACTATTTACTCGTTAAAGTGTTTTTTTTCAGAAAAAAATTTTTCCCAATTTTTTTTTGAGGTGCGTGATAGTGAAAAAAAATAAAAACCGCATGTGGGTACAATGTACAGCTTAAAAAATCTTTTCAAATTAAAAAAAAATTTTTTCAGGGTTATTTTTTTAAGTGACCACTTTCTCCTTTATTGTAAAAAGTACCTTATAATGTCCCCTTTAACATATATTTTTTCCAAATTTTTAAAAAATACAGTTTTTGATTAAATGGCAAAAACCATGGTCATGCTATTTGTCACGTACGGTAATGCACATATATGCATATGGGCAATTTCATGTGTTAGGGTATAGCCGGATAACTATGGAAAAAGTGACCCAAATATATTTTTCCTATTCATTCCTACCCACAAAATAACTTTTTGAAATTTTTAACTCAAAATTTTGAGTTTTTTGAACTTATGGAGGAAAAAAATCAAAAAACGCATTTTTCTCTAAAACTATTGTATGCATTTTTATCAGCTTTGGATTTGTTGAAAAGACAATTAAAGAGATCAAAAAAAAATTTCAAAATTTTTTTTAAAAAATTCCAAAAAACTGTTTTTTAAAAAATTTAAAAAAAATTTTTTTGGTTCTATTAAAGTGACATTTTTATGTATTTTCTCATTTCAGTCTCTTATGTGATCTACTTAATGAAAAAATTTTGCCTGACATGATTTTTTTATTAAGTAGATCACATAAGAGACTGAAATGAGAAAATACATAAAAATGTCACTTTAATAGAATCAAAAAAATTTTTTTTAATTTTTTAAAAAACAGTTTTTTTGGATTTTTTGAAAAAAATTTTGAAATTTGTTTTTTGATCTCTTTAATTGTCTTTTCAACAAATCCAAAGCTGATAAAAATGCATACAATAGTTTTAGAGAAAAATGCGTTTTTTGATTTTTTCTCTCCATAAGTTCAAAAAACTCAAAATTTTGAGTTAAAAATTTCAAAAAGTTATTTTGTGGGTAGAATGAATAGGAAAAATATATTTGGGTCACTTTTTCTATACTTATCCGGCTATACCCTATCACATAAAAATGCCCATATGCATATATGTGCATTACCGTACGTGACAAATAGCATGACCATGGTTTTTGCCATTTAATCAAAAACTATATTTCTTAAAAATTTAATAAAAATATATGTTAAAGGGGACATTATAAGGTACTTTTTACAATAAAAGAAAAAGTGTTCACTTCAAAAAATAACCCTGAAAAAAATTTTTGAAAATATCAAAAAGAAAATTTTTTTGACTTTTTTTGAAAAAAAAATTTTGATTTTTTTACTAAAATCGTCTTATCTATATTTACAACCTCTTAAAATTTTATTAAAATCGATTCAGTAGTTTTCGAGAAAAATAAGTTTTTTGTTTTTTCGTTCCCCCTCTATAACTCCATAACCCACTTGTGGTTTTTATATTTTTTCACTATCACGCACCTCAAAAAAAAATTGAGGAAAATTTTTTTCTGAAAATAGACACTTTAACGAGTAAATAGTACAAAAATGGCAGGTGTCGCTCTTAAAAAAAGAAAAAAAATTTTTTTTTGAAAATTTCAAAAAAAAATTTTTTTGGATTTTTTTGAAAAAAAAATTTGAAAATTTTTTTTTAAAACTGTTTTGTTGACATTTATAACATATTTAAATTTCATTAAAATCGGTTCAGTAGTTTTCGAGAAAAACGCATTTTTTGATTTTTCTTTCCCCCTCCATAACTCCCCCAAAAAAGCGAATTTTGAGTTCAAACTTTCAGAATGTTATCTTTAAGTGGGTAGGAATGTATGGATAAATTATGAATAAAATACATGCGGGGGCACTTTTTGCATACTTATCCGGCTATACCCTTTAATTGAATCAAAATTGATTTGATTGAAAATTTTAATTTTTCTCTAACAGAAAACTGAAGTTGCATTAGTTTTGATGGAAATTTGTTGATGTAACGATGGTTTTTCTATTTTTTTTTTCCTCTTTTATTATACAATCTACAGCTAGTGACAAGTGAGCGACAGTAGGTTATTATAGGTATTTTGGATTAAATTAAATTCTCGCATAACCTGCATAGTTGGCAATTCCGCAGCGATTTTTATTTTTTGCTAAGCGCATGTATCCATTTTCACCCCAGTTTGAGCCCCACCAATTCTTCAAAATCCAATACGTTGGTGAATATCCTACAACTAACATTGCATGGTTCACATCGCTTGCGCTACAAGAGGGATCGTCATAGACACCTCTACTGTAAAATAGAAAATACGATTTTTAAACCAAAAAAAAGAAAAAAATTCCAATGCATATAACTCGAAAGAAAATATCAAATATATACAATATTTATTTTGTCCAATATGTATTTTTGAAGTACTTATAGATTTGGAAAATTTCTTTTAAATCCAATATGTTTTTTTCATTGATTTCACGCAATTCTTTTCGAGTATATGGATAAAACAATTCAGTTATGAAAAAATAGTTGTTTTTTTAAAAAAAAAATTTTCTAAAAATTTCATTATTTTCCCAAAAAATTATTAATTTGAATCGAATTGAATTTTGAGAAATTTTTTTCTATATTATATAATTATTAATTTTAAATTAAAAAATTTTAATTTTCTATTAATTTTCTAAAAGAAGGTGAAAAGTTTTTGAAATAATAATTATAAATATTATTCAAAAACTGAATAACTTACTCTCAAAATTTGAATTGGTAAAAATGATTGCTAATTTCAATTAGTGACTGACTTTTTGCTTTTGAATTAGCAAATTTTACTAATAAATAGTAATTTCTACTAATTTATTAGTAAAATTTACTAATTTTAATTTTTTAATTTTACTAATAAATTTATTTATATATTTTTAAATTTTTTAAATTTTACTAATAAATAGTAATTTCTACTAAATTATTAGAAAAATAAAAAAATAAATTATTAGTAAAATTTACTAATTCAAAAACAAAAAGCCAATCACTAATTCAAATAGGTTTCCCGGACAAGAAAGTCTTATTTTTTGGACTTTTTGTCCTGGTCAAAAAGTGCAAAAAAATTAAAAATTCAATGAAAAAAATTGAGATATAAAAATTTAAATGGTTGTCTTGAATGAAATTGTCCTTTTTTTGAGTTGCTTATTTCGATGACTGTGAATCGAAAGTATATGTAAACTTAACATTTTAAATTTCTGAAAATAATTAAATTAATCGAGCAATTTAATTAGAATTATATTGAAAAAAATAATTTAATTTTTCTGAAAAAATTTATTCAAATTTTTGAAAATCATTGTATTTTTTGGAATAATTGTTTTAAAAATTTTATTGAATAATTGAAATTTTTTTGGAAATTTTTTTATTTATGAAAATAATAATTGAATTTTTGTGAAAAATTTGCTTATTTATGAAAATAATTGAATTTTTGTAAAAAATTTCTTTATTTATGAAAATAATTGAATTTTTGTGGAAAATTTGTTTATTTATGAAAATAATTGAATTTTTGTGAAAAATTTATTTATTTATGAAAAGAATTGAATTTTTGTGAAAAATTTCTTTATTTTTGAAAATAATTGAATTTTTGTGAAAAATTTATTTATTTATGAAAAGAATTGAATTTTTGTGAAAAATTTTTTTATTTTTGAAAATAATTGAATTTTTGTGAAAAATTTGTTTATTTATGAAAATAATTGGATTTTTGTGGAAAATTTGTTTATTTACGAAAATAATTAAATTTGTTTGAAAAATTTGTTTATTTATGAAAATAATTGAATTTTTGTGAATGTTTATTTAAGAAAATAATTAAAATTCTGCGATTTTAACACTAACATTTTAAATTCCAATTTTATAGTGTAAGAAGTAAAAACGTGGAATTTTTATTAATTCAAATTTACAGAGAAAATTATTCAGTTTGTGAATAATATTTATGATTATTAATTCATAAAATTTTTCATCTTTCCTTAGAAAATTAATAGAAAATTTAAAATTTATAATTAGATTATTAGATACAGAAAAAATTAGAAAAAATCACTCAAAATTCAATTTGATTAAAATTAATAATTTTTTTATTAATAAATTAGTAGAAATTACTATTCATTAGTAAAATTTACCAATTAGAAAGCAAAAAGTAATTCACTGATTCAAATTAGTATTTATTTTTACTAATTTAGATTTAGATGAAAACACGTGATTCATGAAAACACGTGAAATAGATGAATTTTGATTAGGATTTAAAAAAAAAAAGTTTAACATGTGAAAATTATTTTAGATCTATGAGACAAAAGTGTTCCGGGAGTAAACGACTTTTTTACTGACAGATTAAATATAAGAATTTATCGTGCTGTTTAGTATTTATCGAGTAAATGTTATCTAAAAAAAAATGTGTTCGAAGTTCAGATGATTTTAAAGTACTGCTTTGACAAAACGTTTTTAAAAAAAAACTTTTCACAGAACTAGGGATTAACTCTTCTACAAAAGAATAACAAAAATTCCCTTGGTACAATTATTATTTTAACTTCTTTTTTTAATTGCCATATAAAAATTGAATTAGATGAAATAGATAAATATTTCTTTTTATTATCTTTTTTTTATTTAGTATTAATGAGCCTTTAAATAAAAACGATCTTAATAATAATATTTTGGATTAATTGTTATTATCAAATAACTATTTACTGGAATCAAATATTTTTTATTTGAATCAATTAAATGGTATTTTAACCAATTATTTCATTATTTGAAGCAAATACAATTTAATTTATTTTAATTTATTTGATTCAACTATAAATTTTTAATTGATTAGTCAAGTAATTGGTTATTTGAATTAAATAAATTTTTTATTTTCCTAACGCTAAACAATTGTTTTGACGGAAAAAAGCTTTAACTAGATCAGCGATTTCTCGTAAACAGCGAAAGTTTTAATTGATGTAACTAAAAATTTCTCTAATTTAGTAAAATGACGCTGTTCCGGTTAAACCTTTTTTTCCGTGTTACATTTATTATTATTAATATTTCAAAAAGCAAATTGAATTAATTTTGAAGTAATAAAAAAATTTCTTTAAAACAAAAAATACGGGAAAACGGACGAAAAATTAATAATAAAAAAAATATTTGCAGTGTAAGGATTCGTTAAACAAATAGTCGTTTTATAGGCCTTTATAAAAGTTTCACTTTATAGAGAATGCGTATAATTGAATTTTTTTTCATATTTCGGTAATTGGTATTTTTTTATTGGTGTCATCTCGGGGCAATTGCGATGACGTTTGAAGGTTATCGATAAAAAAAGAAAGAAATTCAATATATCACATCTTGTAATTACATGATTTTTTTTTGTTTTTTTTTTTGGTTTTATTAAGCAAAAATATTAAAAAGTTCATAAGTGAATTATTTGTATTTGAATAGAATTGAAATATTCGCATACTTACTGATAAAGTTGAAAAGTTTTTGGAGATGCATTTACGGATACTGCAATTGGTCCAATTGTTGCTACAGCTGCTTCTAATGCTCTTTCATCTCGCGCTGGTAAAATTGCCCACGATGTGATATTAATAACACTTAGATTTTCTTGAAATTTACACGTACCTTTCTGGGGAAAAATGGGAGAAATTATTTTTTTACTCTTGTTTTTTTTTTGTTTAAGAATTTAAGAAATTAAAATTTAAAGATTAAAATTAAAATTATTAAAATTAAAACATTAAAACATTAAAATTATTAAAATTAAAACATTAAATTAAACCTTAAAATTAAAACATTAAAATTAAAATTAAAATATTAAAATTAAAACATTAAAATTAAAAAATTACAGTATAGTGGGGTGAAAAAGACACTTTTTTACTTTTTGTGCAACAAAGTCAGAATTAAATTTTTGTTTCAAATTTCTAACGATTCAATAGTTTCAATATAAAACCCAAGTGTCTTTTTTACTCCATGGCTTTTTCACCTCACTCAAGGAAATTAAAACAAATCCATGAAAAAATTGAATTTTTTTCCAATCTGTATTTTAATATCAATATTTAGTTAATTAGTTTTCTTTTTATTTAATCTGTATATGAATGTAGTATCATATTTCCTATTTTCTATTCTCCATAAGATAGAAAATATAATTAATTTGATATTGAAACACGTGTCTCTGTGGGAATAAAGCTCATATCCTCGTCTGACCAAAATCGACTCTATCTACTGAAAATGTAATTGAGGCTAAACTGTAGGTTTCTTCTTTGACAGTAGTGTCTTTTTGCGTAAATTCTACTTTTAGCAAATGCCGATTGTGAAGGAAAAAGAAAGAGAAGATTATTGACCTAGATAATATATTAAATTTAGAATAATTGAAATATTTATTTTCGCAGATTCTTCTTTTTTTCATTTAATTAAATTATCTTCATCCGCTCTTATCTCGTTAAAAACAGTTAATGTGACTTGGTAATTTAGTTAATTACCGAAATGATAAGTGTATTCGTATTACTCACGTATTACGTTCATAGAGATTTTTTATTGCATCATAAAAATTCTTCTTCATTATTCTAATGGAGATTCTATTGGATATTATTCTAAGGCATTATAATATGAAATCTTGCAAAAAAAAAATGTTGTAATTCTATTACAAGTTTTGTTATTAATTTTCGAATATTTATTATTATTATTATTCGACATTTATTGCTCCTAATATTGAATTTGTAATTTATTATTGATTGCAGAACTGGGGAATAAATTTTAATTTAAAAATAAAATTTTAGTTGAACACAGTTTTTCTAAGAATATTAAATTGAGACAAAAAAGGAATCAAAACGTCACAACGTTTTGATTCCTTTTTTGTCTCAATTTGATATTCTTAGGAAAACTGTGAAAGTATATTTGACTCAAATCCTACTAAATTATTTGTTTTAAATAAAAATTTTATTCGACACTAATAAAATTTTTTATTTGAACCAAGTAGAGTTTATTTGAACCAAATAAAATTTTATGTAAAAAAAAAAATTTTATGTAAAATAAAAATTTTATGTAAAATTTTAAGCAAAGCGAATAAAATTATTAATTGAACCAAATAAAATTTATGTTCAATAAATAAAAGGTTTAGTTGGCTCTGAGTCAAACATTTTTTTTTATTTGAGTGAGAAATATAAAATTTATTTCTCCTAATATTATAAGGATTAGCAATTCGTTGATTTGAGAACTTCCTGAAGCAATGAGGAAAATATGGCTGGACGTGTGTTTTATCAAAAACGGATATAGATGTGGAATTGAAAAGTAGGGAATTTAAAAACTGTAACTTTTAACGTCTTTTCAAGTAATTAGAGGCACGCACCTCTGTTGGTGTGTTAACTGAAAAGATCAACGAACAAAATAATGTCGACCTCGACTTTTGTTGCGTCGTTTCAAGACATGATAATCGGATTTACACGGCGTAATTTATATATATTCTATCTTGCTTTTTTTTGTACAGGATGATAAAAAAGTCGTATTTCAAAGTCCAAAAGCTCAGTGATTGTTATTAATTATTAATGTCACACTAGCTGAATCTTTCTATCAAATTTGTATATAACCACTCTATATGCCATCGGCGAATGATAAAAATGAGGCAAAGTCCAAGAGGCGATCGTAAGTCTTTCCTTATTAATTTTCATCTCGTATTTAAATTTGTTTTATAAAACTACATAATTTCTTTATGATTAAAATAAATTTATTTTGTTTTGTAAAAATTCAATGAATTTTATAAATAAGGAAGAATAATTCAATCAATTAGCAACAATTCGCGCGCGACTGACTTCTTACTTACTTTTTTAAATAAAATTAGCAATTTTAAAAATAATAGAACGTAAAAAGTTTTAATTCAATTTTGTTTTATAACAAATAAAATATGAATTGGAATATGTAGTTTTAATATTATTATAATTATAATAATAAATCAAATAAATAAATTAATAAGTTAATAAATAAATAAATAAATAAAATAATAATGATATATTGTGATAAAGGGAATCCAGGGAAAAGTCAGAAATTTTTATTAAAAGTACTGAAAAAAAATGAATTTTTAGAATTTATAAAAAAATTCTGGATTTTTGTGTCTTTTTTGTTTGACTTATAAACTATAAAATTACCACGAATTCTAATACAAGACCTTAAATTTTTTCACTTTCTGACAAAAATTTCTTTTTACAATTTTAATAATTTAAAATCTTCTAAAATTAGTTAAATTTGTCAATATATATTTAATTAATTATTAAAAATGATGGATTAATAAAAGAATTTTAGTAAAAAATACTAAAAAAATTGAAGTTTGAAGAAGTTACAAACAATTGCAGAAATTGATATATTTTCAAAAGTGATAAAATTTATATCACAAAATTTAATTATATTCAAAATTTACAAAAAAACTCTCGACAAAATCCCAATTATTATCTTTATAAATAAAAAAATTCTTCTTCAAAATTCAATTATTTTCAAAACTTTTTAATAAAATTATTGTAAAAATTTCATTTACTTTAAAAAATGTTCCTCATTTTAATGATTTTCAATATCAATTACACAGGCCTGCAAAATGAAACTTTTTTTCGGGATAATGAATGCGACAAAGTGTTTCCGAAGGCAAATTTTGCCCTGAACACGAATCCGAGGTCTAAAATGCTCCATCACGTCAAGTTTAAAAAGAAATGAAGTTAAAACCCCTAAAAACAGCGTTTTTGGCACTTTTTTAAAAATTGTGGGGCAAACTCCTGACGTGATAAAAATTTCGCTATTATCAGAAATTTAAGCTTAATTCATGCCCTTTCAAATAAGCTCTCAGCCGATTAATATCCTTCAACCCTTAAAGCAGGGGGTGTATTTTTGTCCAGGGGTGCAAAAACTTTAAAATACATATACAAAGAAAATTATTTAAGGGTTTTTTTTAGGGGTAGCCGTGTACTTAAACCTATAGCTTCAAAATTTTTCTCAATTCACAACCCCTAAAAAATCCCTTAAATAATTTTTTTTTTATATGTATTTTAAAGTTTTCGCACCCCTGGACAAAAACAGACCCCCCTGCTTTAAGGGTTGAAGGATATTAATCGGCTGAGGGCTCATTTGAAAGGGCATGAATTAAGCTTTAATTTCTGATAATAGCAAAATTTTTATCACGTCAGGATTTTGCCCCACAATTTTTCAAAAAGTGCCAAAAACGCTATTTTTAGGGGTTTCAACCCCATTTTTTTTTAAAACTTGACGCGATGGAGCATTTTGGACCTTGGATTCGTGTTCAGGGCAAAATTTGCCTTCGGAAACACCTAGTCGCATTCATTATCTCGAAATGATGCAGGCCTGTGTTATTTTAATAAAATTACCCAAAAGAATTCAATTATTTAAAAACAATTTTAACCTTCGCGCTACCGGATGGCCACCCAGGGTGGCCAAGCAATAAATAATGTTGTAAATCTGCTCGATTTTTGCATCAATCGAATCGCGATTTTAAGTCACTGAACAAAATTTTATCTACTTTCGAAAAATAAAAAAAATTAATTTTTTTTTACATTTCTTCTTGTTTATTTATAACAATTAAAAAACTATGTTCAACACTACTGAAAAACGTTCGGATGTTATTTTGTATATTGCAAAAAAATAAAAATGAAATCATGAAAGTTTCACAATAAAATTGTTTTATGTCAATAAATACAACATATTTTGATGTTACAATGAATTTTTTATTTGTTTAAACAAATTATTGTTGTTATTTACCAACTTTTTACAGAATGCACTTAGAAAGTTGCAGTTTTTTTCTAATTTTGCAATTTATTAATCTTATATGATCACAAATATGTAAAGAGTAAAAATTAAATTATTATTTAGACAATTTTTAAACAAATTATTGTTGCTATTTACCAACTTTTTACAGAATACACCTAGAAAGTTGCAGTTTTTTCCTAATTTTGCAATTTACTAAACCTTATATGATTATAAATAAAAAAATCAAAATTGAATTGTTATTTAAACCATTTTTAAACAAATTAATAATTCGTTTATAAATTGTAATATGTAATAATATAAGGTTTAGTAAATTGCAAAATTAGTAAAAAACTGCAACTTTCTAGGTGTATTCTGTAAAAAGTTGGTAAATAGCAACAATAATTTGTTTTAAAATTGTTTAAATATTAATTCAATTTTTACTCTTTATTTGTGATCATATAAGATTTAGTAAATTGCAAAATTAGGAAAAAACTGCAACTTTCTAGGTGTATTCTGTAAAAAGTTGGTAAATAACAACAATAATTTGTTTAAATAATTTTTTACTAATATTTATGATTCGTTTCAATAAATATTTTCTTTAATTTTTGATTTAATACTAAGTAACGTTAAAAAAAGAAAAGTTTTCAAAAATTTTCTAATCTCTTTGTTTATTTGAAAATTAAAGGTTTTTGCAATAACAAATTTTTTAAACAATTGCAATATGCATAAAACCTTTATTAAAATACAGCAATTGTATTAACACATAGTTATTTACAAAAAGTTTGATGAATTTTAATCGTTTTTGGAATATAAAAGTAAAAAAGCGTTTGGCCACCCCGGGTGGCCATCCGGTAGCCCGCGTATACAAAAATCTTTGGTAGCGCGAAGGTTAATAAAATTGTCCAAATTTTTTATAAGTTTCTTCTTAATAATTCAATTAATTTTAGAAATAATAAAATTCATTGCAGAATTTCAATTATTTTTAATACAATTTTAATCAAATTACTTGAAAAATGTAACAATTCTAAAAAATTTTATTAAAATTAGTCAAAAGAATGAAATTATTTAAAAATTTGTTAATAAAATTCTTCATAAGAATTAAATTTTAAGAAACATTCAATTATTCAATAAATAATTTACTTTTGTATTTAAATAATTGAATTCTAGTAAAATTTTCTAATAAAAATTAATTTGAAAATGAATTATTTTACTTTAAATTTTAGATAATAATAGAATATGAAAATAATTTTTAAAAAGTTACAGTAACAATATTCTTATAATATAAAATAAAGATTTTAACAATGGATCCTCTTTAATTATTATGAAACATAAAGAATGTTTTGAAGAATTTTAATTCCTACGGAAAAATAATAATAATTAAATATTTAAAAAAGAAATTATTGTTTTCGAATAATTTTACAATTTAAGATATTCGTAAATAAATTTAACAGAACATGTTTTTCAGTAAAATTTTTTCCTTTATTTTTTAAAAATCCAAAAATTTTTAGTTTCATTTTATATTAAATTTTCTAATTGCAAAATATAATTTATAAACATTTTTTTCCTGTATTTTTAAAAAACTTTGAATTTTATGAAAACAATTGAAATTAAGAAATAGAATTTATGCAAATTATTTCCTTATGAAAATTGGGAATTTTCTAGAAAAATATTAAGAAACGGGAATATCTAATGTTTTTCTTCAAAAAAAATGCGTTTGTAAACAATATTGTTATTGAGAAATAAAAATTATGCATAAAATGGGTATATTTCCTACTTCCTTATAAAAATTTTTTAACAATTAACAATTTTCTAGTATTTTTTATAAATAAAAAGGAGAATAATTTGCATAATAATTTTAATCAGTCAAACGAAATTTGTTGTAGAAAAATGCATATAACAAACAAAATGGGTATATTTTTTATTTGTTGATCATAATTTTTGTTAAATTTTCTAATTTCTAATATTGTTTTATTATGAATCATAAAAAAATACCTGCATATTTTCAATTTGTCAAAAAATATTTTTTAATGAAAAAAACAAAAGTATACACAAAAACTAACTTTCAACTGCGGATACAAATGAATGAAAGAATACGGAGATTAATATAGTTTATTTGAAAAAAAATTAATTTTATCTATGATACTAAAGTTCTGAACGTTCAAATGAACGAAATTTATTTTTTTTCTTCTTCAAATTAAATTTTTATTACAATCCAGTGTGGAAATTGAATCTGGGCGCTAGCCATGCTATGTCCGGGGAGCCCCATTACAAGCTAGCCCCTGACCAGAAACCTAACTCTGTCACGGCTAACTCGGGCTATTTCCACACGGGATATTTTAAATTTTGTGTCACTATGAATAAAATTAATTATAAAGTTTCTCTCAGTATAAAATGAAAGTTTTTAATTTTTATTGCAATCAGCAATTTATGAAAATATTTTTAATAAAATGTATTTCGTTCATTTGAACGTTAAAAACTTGTGGATTGTTATCTATAAGTCAAATTTGATATTTAAATTCCAAACTTGATTAAATTATGTAAAATTGTTACTATTTTAAAATTAGTTTTGAAATTATTATTATTATTATTATTATTATTATTATTATTATTAATAAATATTTTATTAATTATTTAATAATATTACCCGCCCTATGTAAGGATAGTAGGATTCTCCCATAAGTCCTCTGACTTGTTCCAAATATTTTAAAGTGTTTCTTAAAGATCCACCATCACAGCCTAAATTTCCTGTCGATGAACTACAATCGACTATTTGTTGTTTGCTTAATGAATAAACGTGACCCGTTAGTCGATAAAGTTGTCCTATAATTGTTCCAATTATTGCATAGGCGTAACAACTACCGCAGTCCAATTGTTCCTCGGGCGGTGTTAAAAAACCACAGGTCCGCCAGTCTAAATATTCTGGCACTCTGTTTGGGTCGTGAAGGACTGCTTGTACCATTGGGTCATCGTCGAGTAGCAGTTGATTACTTGGTATTAATTTCACCTGGATTTTTTTTATTTTTTGGACAATTTTAGTTTCAAATATAATTCAAATTTTAGTTTCAAATAATTTAGTTAATTCCAATTATTAATTATTTGATTAACCAAAATAATTAATCAAGTATTTGTGTGTGGTGGAAAGAGGGGAAAAAATTGGAAGATTTTAATCACAGTAACCACTTAAATGTGACGGGAAAAAGTCTTAGGAGTTTATCGGTACTTTCTGCGAGGACTTGACTTAATCGATTGTCGATTTACGATTTAGAACATCGATTACGAACCCATTCTCGAAGGTACTGTCCGGTGCTGAGATCAGCAATGCAGTTGTCTCGCAAGAGGTAGCTATAATGTCCCGCAGTGGCCAATAAGTTATGTTCATAAATCTTGAAAAGATTGCTCTCCCAAGCAATTCGTCTCTTCATCTCTAAAATCCCTACGTAAGTTTTGTTACGCATCGACTAGAAACAGAATTTTTTGATTCATCATTTTTTATTCCTCGAAGTAAAAATTAACTATTATTAATTTTTTTAAATATTTTCGTAATTGGGATTTACATTTTTGAAATATAACTGGAGTAAAAATGCAGAAATATTATCAAAATAAAATGAAAATAATTATGAATTTTATATTCATATATTGACTATTATTTTTTAGATTCACTGTAGAAGAAAGTAAAATTAGAACAAGGGGTTAGACAACTCGTGAAAAAAATTTAATTATTTATAAAAATTCTAATAAAAATTTTTGAAGCCATTTGTAGATTTATTTATGTTTGAAATCAAATAAATTAAAATTTGATGAGAAAAAAAACCGGGAAAAATGATTAGAAAGCCGGGAATATGGTTGAACGAAAATAGTAGACACCCTGATTAATTTTTAATTAAAATAAATAATTTAGTATTTAAAATTGGTTTTAAATTCTATTTACCTACTTGATTTAGTTGAACAATTGTTTTACTGTGTTTCTTTATTAATTAAGAGAGATAATTACCTTGTATTTGAACCAGTAATCGTCGAAACATTTAGAGAGTTTTCGCGACAATAAAAAGGTGACAGATTCTTTTATCAGTGCACTGAATATTACTAGATTGCACAAAATTATAATGCACTTCCACTGATTCATTGTTCATTACTGGTTTCTTACTGCCAGGAGCATTTGACATTGCACATAAATTCGTACTAATGTATCTGAATATAACACGGGTTCCCTTTAATCAAATGTATGTCACTGTCAGCAAACTCGAATTTCATAATCACAAAATACATGCCATTATTCAATTATTATGTTTATTCTCTGATATAACCGAGAACATATTACAATTACAACATTCGTACATATTAAATTTGTTTTTAATTTTATTTAAATCTTTTATAATATTTTCATTTGCGTAAGCATTTTTAAAACAAAAGTTGCGTTCTGTTGTCATTATTAGATTTCGAATTTAAGAAAATGGTTTTTTTTATATATTATATCCTAAAGTTCTTATCGTTCAAATGAAGGAAGTTTATTTATTTCTGATTCAAATTAAATTTTTATTATAATAACTTTAAGTCACCGGGAAGAAAAATAATTATTAAGTTTCTAAAATGCAAAATTTTAGTTTTTAATTTGTATTGCAATAAGTAAAAATTATTAAAATAACTTTTAGTAAAAAATATTTCGTTCATTTGGACGTTCAAAACTTGTGGGTCATTTTCAACAATGTTTAGCTGATAAAAAACAATTTAACATAAATTTTATTTAACATGGAATTTAATTGACATAAATTTCATTTTAAATAAAACTCACTTGAGATGAATTTCATTTCAAATAAAATTCATTTCTTTTGAATTTCATTTAACATAAAATTCATTTATCATGAATTTCATTTTACATAAAATTCATTTAGCATGAATTTCATTTTACATTAAATTCATTTAGCATGAATTTCATTTTACATTAAATTCATTTGATATAAATTACATTTGCCAAAAAAATTCATTTAACACAAATTTCATTTGACATAAATTTTATTTAACATAATATTTCAATTTAACATAAAAATCACTTGACAAAGATTTGATTAGGCGAACAAATAAATTGACACAAAATTTAATTTTACAAAATTCATTTGATGGAATATTTATTTGACGTAAATGTTAAGATAAATTTCATTGGGCATAAATTTTATTTGACATAAAATTAATTAATAAATTAAGTAATAAAATTAATTTGATGTAAACTTTATTTGACATAAGTCATTTAACATTATTCTCATTTGAGAGAAATTATTTGACATCAAAATATTGATGCGAATTTTAAAATTTGTCAATTACAATTTTCTTGATAAAATATCTGATTGATTACTTTTAAAATTCGAGGTAATATTTTTATAACAAATAAACTTAAAGTCAAATGAATTTTGTGTCAAATAGTAAAGTATGTAATAGTAAAGTATGTCAAGTAATTTTTATGTCCAATGAATTTTATGTCAAATAAAATTTATGTGAAGTGATTTTTTTGTTAAATGAAATTTATGTGAATTAATTTTCATGTTAAATGGAAATCATACTAAATGAGTTTTATGTCAAATGAAATTTATGTTAAATGAATTTCGGGTCAAATGAAATTTTTTATTCCAAATGAATTTCTGGTCAAATGCCATTTACTCCAAACGAATTTTATGTTAAATGAATTTCAGGTCAAATGAATTTCAGGTCAAATGACATTTATTCCAAAAGAAATTGATGTCAAATGAAAGTTATGTTAAATGAATTTCATGTCAAATGATATTTATTTCAAATGAATGTTAGGTCAAATGACATTTTTTCCAAATGAAATTTAGGTTTAATAAAATTTGACATATATTAACATTTATATCAAATGAATTTGATGTCAAATGATATTTAAGTCAAATGAATGTGAAAAAAATTATATTTTGCTATCGCGAATGAAAGATTGTAAAAGTTCCCCTTAATATATTTATATATAAAATATAACATATCATTTATTTAAACTAGAGTAGTAAAATTTATCAATTTTGATATTAAAATATAAAATTTTCTTTAATATGACATTAAAGTATATGAACGGAATATTAACAAAGTACATGAAACTGTAAAGTTTGAAGCTTTAATATAAAAGTCAAAAGATAATATATACTTTCGCAGTAAATTTATCAAGAGTAACAATTTGAGTCCATAAATTTTTATTTCTCTATTGAGAAATATGAAACATTAAAAATTATATGACGTTATTGTCGATGCTTGAGATTTAATAAACATCGTCAGCAGCTTTTGTTATACGAATTTATGAGATTGCAAACAACCATCCGAGCTATTCACTGAACTATAATACGTAGAGAGAAAAGATTTTCTTCAACGAAGGTAGAGAGAACAACGAAAAGGAAAACTCGAAAGAACAGGGCGGGTTAACGCTTCTTCAGACGAAGGAACTTAAATTCTAAGAGCTTTCACTTCCTTTGCGTCTTCCTCTTTTTGTCCAATACACTCACGTTTCTTTATGAGCTTATTTGTCCTTAATGTCTATTCATCTCGCGAAAAACGAAAATAGGCATAATTATATTTCGTAGGAAAAACCATTATTCTGACTTTCAAAGAAGCTGGAGAAAAATATATGAATAGCCTTCTAGAAAAAAGTCAAGAATGTTAATTAAATTTTTTTTCCTTAATAACTTGTATTTTTTAGATTGCATTTTTTAACAATTGAAATAGTGCGGATATGTTTTTTATAAATGTTGGTGGATTTTTCCATTCAATTTATTAGCAATTATTTTAAACAAATTCTTAACTTTTTGATTTGACTTATTGAGATTAGTTGAAAAATAGTAAAATCTCAGGGTTCGAACTGGGTCCGTAAATCCCGTAAAAGTCCGTAACTTTGCTTGAAGTCCGTAAAAGTCCGTTTTTTTGGAAAAAAGGTCCGTAAAGTCCGTAATTTGATTCAAAAAGGATGAAAAGTTCGTAAATTGTAGGATATAATTTGGATAATTTTAGAGAAATTACAAATGGTTGCAGAAATTAAATTATTTTCAAAAGTAATAAAATTCTTCACAGAAATTCAATTAAATTCAAAAACTTAAAAAAATTCTCGTCAAAATTTCAATTATCTTTAGAAATAATTGAATTCTTCTCTGAATTTCAATTATTTTCAAAAATTTTTCTTAATTCAATCATTTTTAATATCTACTATTTTAATAAAATTTTCCAAAAGAATTCAATGATTTAAAAACAATTTTAATAAAATTGTACGCAAACATTTAATTATTTTCATAAATAATAAAACTCATTGCAAAATTCCACTTATTTTTATTACAATTATAATCGAATTTCTCGAAAAATGTAATTATTCTAAAAAATTTTATTAAAATTCGTCATTCGAATTCAATTATTTAAAAATTTATTGATCAAATTCTTCATGAGAATTCAAATTTAAAAAACATGCAATTATTCAATAAATTATTTATTTTTGAATTTAAATAATTGAATTTTAGTAGAATTTTATCATAAACTGATTTAAAAATGAATTTCAGTTAAAATTTTAAATTATAATTGAATTTTAAAAGCATTAGAGCGTAAATTTTTAGAAATAATTGAATTTCGAAAAGGTTTCAGATTAAAATCTTTGAAAATTTGAATTTATTATTTTTTTAACTAACAATTCTGTAGAATTAATTTTTTTTGAAAAACTTTAATTAAAATTTTGTAAAATTGAATTGTAAACAAATGAATTTAAAAATTATTAAAGAACTTTTTCAAAAATTATTAAAAATAATGTATTTATAGAGAAGAATTTTAGTTGAAAAAACGAAAAAAATTTTAATTTGGAAAAGTTACAAGTTATTGTAGAAATTTAATTATTTTCAAGATTAATAATATTCTTCGCAAAAATTAAATATTGTTCAAAAGTAATAAAATTCTTCTTAGGAATTCAATTATTTTCACACATAATAAAACTCATTGCAAATTTTTAATTATTTTTAATACAATTTTAAAATTATTTTTATAGTAATTTTTTGAGAGGAATTCAATGGTCATAAAAAAAATTGGTCAGAAAATATTTTGACCCCTTTTTAATTTTTATTTTTTCTAAAAATTGATAGATTTTGAAATACATACTTAATTTTGTAGAAAATATTTGTTTTTGTATCCATAAAAAAATTACCGAATGAAAAAATTAATATTTACAAAAGTTTTAGCATTTAAAAAAAATAGTTTTCATGTTAAGAATTTAAAAAAATATGATTATTATCAAATTTTATTATACAAAAACTCATTTGTTTTTTTCTAACTAATTCTAGAACATAAAAACAAATGAGTTATTGTATAATATTATAAAATTTAATAATAATAATATTTTTTTAAATGCTAAAACTTTTGTAAATATTAATTTTTTTCTTCGGCAATTTTTTTATGAATACAAAAACATATTTTCTGCAAAATTATGTATGGATTTCAAAATCTATCAATTTTTAGAAAAAGAAAATTCAAAAAGGGTCAAAATATTTTTTGATCAATTTTTTTGATGACCTCAATTCCTCTCAAAAAATGACTATAAAAATAATTTTACTAAATATTTAAAATATTTTCTTCATATAGTTGAAAATATAGGTTTACCCTCCCTTTTAATAATTGAATTCTATGTAGAATTTTGTAATAAAAATTGATTTAAAAATTAATTGCAATTAAAATTTTAGATAATAATTGAATATTAAAAGCAATATAGAGTGAATTTTTAAAAATATGAAATTTAATTTTTTTGAAAAAGTTTAATTGAATTTTTTTAATATTACTTTAAGTTTTTATTTTCTAATATTTATTTAATTGAAGAATTTACGAATAATTGAAATTTCGTAAAATTGAATATTGTAAACAAATGGATTTGGAAATTGTCAAAGAACTTTTTCGAAAATTATTAAAAATAATCGATTTAACAAAATTTTTCAATTTTTAGCAGATATTTATAAAATTATAAAAATTAGTATGCATCAGCTAATGCAAAGGATATAAAATAAAGTACAAAATTTGATAAAAATCTGAATAAATTTAAAAATTTACAAGTCTCTCATTATGAATTCAACATTTTGAATTTTTTATTTTGAAAGTCAATTTTGAGAATTCAGCGACCCAAAATATTTCTTGATAATGAAATTGAGAAAAATCAAAATGAATTTTAAAAATTACGTCCGCCATTTTGGATCCTCCATTTTGAATTTCTAAAAATGAATTTTAATTTTGAATTCAGCGACCCAAAATACCCCTAGATACTGAAATTGATGAAAATCGAAAGAAATTTTAAAAATTGTGTCCGCCATTTTGGATCCGCCATTTTGAATTTTTAAAAATAAAGGTCAAATTCGAATTCACCGAGCCTAAAAACCCTTATATTCCAAATGTAAGTAAATTAAAAAAATTTTTTTTTTAAATTTATTATATTACACTTAAAAATAATAAATAATTATTTATTTATTACTTAATCTAGTATCATTGAACACTATAGTGTGTGAATAATGATATCAAAGAATTTATTTGATAATTTACATAAGAAATTGCATTTATTTTCCCCTAAGAAGTTCACGACCCAACGCTGGGTCGCAAACAGGCAACGGGTTATAAAGAAGAATTTTATTTAAAAATTTTTGTAAATAATAATTGAATTGTAAATGATTTTTTATCACTCGGTAATTTGTAATTATTATTATAAAACATGAAGAAATCGATCACTCCGAGTCGAAGACTCGGAGTTATCGATATCTTCATGTTTTATAGTTAAGAAATGTTATCCCAATATGAAAAATTTAATATTTATAGTTTTTAGTAAAATGTTCTCTTATTTGACTCGTACTGGTTATATTTTTGTCATTGGTCCGTAATTTTTCATTTTTGGTCCGTAAAGTCCGTAGTTTTAAATACTTTCACTGGTTCGAGCCCTGTAATCTACTAGGACTTTTTTTTGAATGTATGTTAGCTAAAATAACTAATTTTTTTCTCCTTGATATGCATATATGTCGGATAAGTGAAAGATGTGGGTAACGATTTTTTCTCGTTCTCAAAAGATGTCAGTAGCGTGCACAATCGAAATCGTTCTTGAACCGCGTAGTATCAAGTAGAGTCGCTGCGGTTGTGTTCGCGCGAACAGACAAAGTGAATGGTGAACAATTTTTCTACAGTTGCGTTCACATGGATCATGTGCGGTGTCGTGGGATTCACTCGTGCTCATTTACACATGTCAACACACTACAATTTTTTGACAATTCAAGTAAATTACCAAAAAATCAAAAACTCCTGACAAAAATATAATTTTAAGCAGGAGGAATCATATTTTATGTGCGCGAAAAATTACATTTAATAAAGTGTCATCATAATCATCAACATCATCATCATCATCATCTTGGCGCCTGACTTGTTCAATATAGTTAGCCGCTCAGCTACATCTTTATTTTCCTCCTCTCTTTCTCGCTCTCTCTTCACTTATTTAATAGTGTCATCTCCCTCTCTCCCAAAGTCCATTATGCGCTCTTCACTCTCTCTCTCTCTTTCTTTCTCTCGTACTGACGCGTACTGTCACAATCATTTTTGCCCTCCCTCGTCCCCCAATTTCCCCGCCGCATAACTCTTCACCGCCAAAGTTTCTCGTGACGGCCTTTTCAAGATTGAGATCGGGAGTTGTTTTTTGATTACGCTCTACGAAAGGACGTAAGGTTATGTTCGCGAATATTATTATAAGTTAATTGATAAAAACTCTCGTCGCCATATGGCTTACTTTCATAGCCGCATCTCTTAAATAGTGTGTGTACATACATATGTGTATGTTTGACTTTTTATACTTTCGGTTTGACTTTATGTACTTTCTTTTATTATCAATTGATAATTTGTAAACAATTAGACATTATTACACTATTGGAATGTTAATTACACTGTGAAAAGTAAATCTTACTTTCAAACAAGTTTTGACTAAAACTATTTACATTCGAATTTTGATTTGACTGCAAGCATTTAGCATTTTTTACTACAGGTATATTCACTATTCTTGTCTACAAGTATTTACCATTCTTGTCTACAAGTGTTTACCATCTTTTACTACAAGTATTTACCATTCTTGCCTAGAAGAATTTACCATTCTTGTCTACAAGTATTTACCATTTTTGCCTAAAAGTATTTATCATCTTTGACCAAAGTATTTACCATCTTTGACCACAACCATTTACCATTCTTGCCTAAAAGTATTTACTATCTTTGACTACAAGAATTTACCATTCTTGCCTAAAAGTATTTACCATCTTTGATTACAAGAATTTACCATTCTTGCCTAAAAGTATTTACCATCTTTGACTACAAGAATTTACCATTCTTGCCTAAAAGTATTTACCATCTTTGATTACAAGAATTTACCATTCTTGCCTAAAAGTATTTACCATCTTTGACCATAAGCATTTACAATCTTTGACCACAATCATTTACCATTCTTGTCTACATATTTACCATTCTTGCCTGCCAGTATTTATCATCTTTGACTACAAGAATGTACCATTCTTGCATTAAAGTATTTACCATCTTTAACCAAAAGAATTTACCATTCTTGTCTAAGAGTATTGACCATATTTGACTGGCATGTAAATTAGAATCATTTTTGACTAAATCATTTTGATTTGTCTAAACAGTTTCGAATTTTGTTTTTTATGGACATTCCAGTATAAAGAAAGTTTTATTTTAAGGTAGACAAGAAGAGATAGCAATCTTAATTTAACTGCAATATTTTTACACTGAAAATAGTCTTCAAGCACTTACACTTTAAATTCTGTTTCTTATTAAATTTAATCCACTCTTGAGTTTGAAAAAAATTAACCTCTTTAATTCCGATTCCTGATCTTAAATTAAGCCAAATTTTCGACTAGTGTAAGTTGATTTAGCCGAAAGTGGGAATTAAGATAATTGGAAATTAAGATGGATTTTTTACAGTGTTTACATTTCCATAAACAGTGTTGGTTACAATTGTTGATTTTTTTTCAATTTTAGTAGATACTCGAAAAGAATATACAGACACGAAAGAAGAATTCAAAATCTGAGGATTTAATTTCTGGGAAAAATTTGCTTCACTTGTATTGCATTACAGTTACAACTTAGCATCATTCTGAATATGTAACTTGATGATTGAAATCTAAGTAATGATTTGTCAATTGATATGTATTATGATTTCTAAACCATCAGTGAGTTTGGAAAAGTTGATAATTTTCAGGATATTGGATATATTTTTAGAAATTTTATTGTTTGCTTTTAGAAATGAGAAATTGTTAGAAATTTTATTGCTAATAGATTTTAAAAATACGAAATTGTTAGAAATTTTATTTTTTAAAAATACGAAATTGTTAGAAATTTTATTTTTTTAAAATGAATTTTTAGAAATTTTATTTTTAAAAAATTGAACTGTCAGAAATTTTATTTTTAAAATTAATGAATTGTCAGAAATTTTATTTAAAAATGAGAATTATTTTTTGGATCGAAATATTTTGTTGATATTTTTGTATTAGTAATTTATTTATTTATATTTTGCTTGTTGATTAGCATTGAGACATTTTTGTTGTTTACGTTGATGATGGTAATAGACAAGTTGCTTATTGCTATTACAAATGTTTATTAATTTAATAAGGCTCATTATTGTTAACTGCACTCATTGTAGTCAAGTATGTTTTTCACTGCATTCAGAGAAATGTTTTCTCTGAGCCAAATAATAATTTATTTGATTTTAATGGAATTAATTTTTTTCTCGAAGTTTATTGTCACTATTTACTATTTTTAAAAATTAATAAACATTATATTTGGCCTGAATAAAATGTTTTTTGGAGCAAATTAAATTTTATTTGAAGCAAATAATATTTGATCTAAATTAAATTTGAACCAAAGTAAATTTGAACCAAATTAAATTCGAACCAAATTAATTTTAAATCAAATAATATTTTAATCAAATTAAATTTGAACCAATTTAATAAATATTAATAATAATAATAATAATAATTATTATTAATAATTTAAAAAAACTAAATCACATTATATAGAGATTAAAATCGAATAAATATTTGAACCAAACTAAATTTTAACGAAATTAAAGTTATTTGAATATTTTGTTTATAATATTTATAAGTATAAATAAATAAATCTGTCGTCTATTTTCTTTAGAGAATTTTTAATGCAAAATATCAATAAAGTATTTTACTACGGTGGCAAATTGAAAATTAAAACAATCTCTTCTCGAGATGAAATTTATTTAATTTATAATCAGAGATAAAAATAATTGTACAAGGATTTTTGTGGTAGAAATCAGATTGCAAATAGGCTATTCACTTGTTAAAAGGCCACGTTGTTTGTCTGTAAACTTTGAGTAAGACAGTTTTTTAAGCACTAAAATTTTTCTTCAATACTTACTAATTATTATTAAATCTTTATTAATTGTTATTAAATATTTATTAAACATTATTAAATACTCATAAAATACTATTAAATATTTATTAAACATTTATTAAATATAAATTTATTATTTATTACAAATTTTCCGTCTATACTCAATTACATTCAATTATTACGTGAATATTATTAAAAAATTCCAAAAAGTTAGTTCGTTACAAAAATATTGATTTTTTTCTACTTAATTATAAATGATGTCTCACGTTGGAATTCTTTATTTGTTATATTTGTGTAATAGCTGAATAGCATATATATACATATATAACATATATGTGTATACATTGGTTGTATATGCGTACACGAGGAGATAATAAAAATTGATGACAATTTTCATATTAAAGACGATCAAGGAATGAGACTCATAATTGTAGGATGAAAATCATTTCTAATAAAATTGTGAGCATCGAGAGATAAAGTTCACTTGGATATTATTGCGATTATTTTATAATATTATTCAATAAAACGATATTTGCTTTGTTTAAAAGGCATGATGTTTTTGATTGCATATTTCTTATCTGTTTATCAATAGAAATTTCTTGAAAATCGCAGTAAAACAAATTTACTTTAAATATATGCTATTAAGTAATTCTTTAAATTAATTAATTAATTAATTGGCAAATAAACTAATTCTTTAATTAATTAGTTAATTAGTAAATAAACTAATTCTTTAATTACTGGTTTTAATCGAGTATTAAATATCAAATTATAGCTGAACTAGCTTGAATTTATAAATCACTGATTCAAATTTAGAGCACAATATCAATTTTTATTTTATACTAAATTAAAATTTATTATTAAAATTGAAAATAAATATTTTTTTTTCATTTATTCATTTATTTTATTCATTGAGACTTGTACAATTTGAATATATGTATATACAATTTTATTTAAAAACGATGCCTTATTTTACATTTGGATAAAGTTCACAATTTATTATTATTGAATTATTATACGAATTCATAATTCTATTTGCTCATATGTTGTAATAAAAGGAATCAACGGGAATTAATAATTAGCCAAAAGTCACTATTAATAGAAATCATTGACTAACAGTTAGTTATTTTCGCTACCATGTTTTGAAAACGTGTTATATTCTCTTATCAGTCGCATAAATTACATCTTCAGATTTTGAAGTAAAAAAAAAATAAATAAATAAAAGGAAAAGAAAAACAATTTCCGATACTGTGAAATTTGTACTTTTGGAATACTTTTTATATGTGGATGATTCTACGATAAGAGATATCTTTGATGCACCTGAAAAAAATCTCAGTAATCTAGGAATTAGGAGACTAATCTGGGTTTTAGTTTATAAATGGAATGAAATCTTGTATAGTAAACATTGTCTACTATAAAGAACATTATGCGGTAAATTTTGCCCAAATCTTTCGATTAACAAACAGGACTTTTCAAATTTATTTTTTGTAATTTTTTTTGTTTAATAATTTAATGAGAAAGTAGGCAGAATATTTTTTCTTATATTTAGGGTAAAGTGGGGTAAAAAAGACACTTTTTTACTTTCTTCTACTCTAGTGTATATTTATATCATATTATAGTCTATTTTATACTTAATAATAGCTATTTATAACGGAAGTAATGATTACATTATATTTAAGTCGAAAAAAATGTTTTCGGAGCATATAAGTATTTTATAAGTGCTTTGTAAGTACTCCAAAGTGATTTATAAATGACTCGAGACTCTTCAAATACACATTATTTGGAAAAAATTTACTGTTTAAATTTACAACTCAAAAAATATTGTGCAAGGTCAGAATTTCTCAAACGGCGTGGCTGAAATTAAAAGATTTAATTTTAACGTTAAATCATTTTTTTACTCTTAGTGCGATCAAAATAACTTTCCTACATCTTTAGATCAAAGAGAAGATATTTTGTTAAAGTTATTAACAATTAAAGTTTTTAGTAATTTCAAGCTGTCTTTTTTAGCAGTTTTTTTATCAAATAAATATTAATTTGATTCAAATAATTTTTATTTAAAATTTTAAATTAATTAAATGGTATTTGAATCAATAATTTCAGTGTTTGAAACAATTACCATTCAATTGACTCAAATAAAAGTTATTTGATTATTTTTAAACAAGGCAACAAATATAAAATAACTATTATTTAAATTAGTAAACATTTGAAGTAATTTAAATTTAGAGAGTTAGTAAATAAGTAACTAGAAAAATAGTCAAAGGTGACTAATTGAATTAGTTATCAAAAATTTTATTTTCCGCTTTAACAAAACTTTTTTTTAACTAATTACAATTTTGATAGAATTGTAATTATGCAATTTTAAATTTTTAGAAAATAAAGGAAAAAATTTTACTGAAAAAAATGTTCTGTTACATTTATTTATAAATTTCTTTTAAATTATTCGAAAACATCAATAACTTCTTTTTTAAATAAATATTTAATTATTATTATTTTTCCATAGTAATTAAGATTTTTAAAAATTTCAAATTCAAACATTTTTGAAATTAAACATCTTATAAAAAATTGTTATAAAACATGAAGACATCGATCACTTCGAGTCTTTAACTCGGAGCAATCGATATCTTCATGTTTTATAATAATTAAAGATGACCGATTATTATTTTCTAGAATTTTTAATTATTTTTTATGAAAATAATTCAATTCCTTGAAAAAAAATTTATTATTTATAAAAATAATGGAATTATTGCGATGAAATTTATAAAAAATTTGTAAATAATTGAATTAGTGTGAAATTTTTATTATTTATGAAAATAATTAAATGTTTGCGTAAAATTTTCTTGAATTTTTTTTTAAATAATAAAAAAATAATAGAAAAAATAAATTTTTGAATAAATAATAATGAAACCGATTATTCGATTCATTTAAGTATTTTTTGCTTTTTAGAAAATAATTATTACGATTAAAAATTATTTTTGTGTCTTATTGCAAATAAAAAAAAACGACAAATAAAATATTTGTCGAAACGTTTAAATTGTGTTTTTATTATTTTAATATTTGACTTGGAGGATTGATAATTTTCTTGATATTTTATACAAATATAATAATTTTCATTAAAATATTTTGTTACATTCTACACTCAATTCTAATAAAACCTTATTAGCATTTTGCCATTTTTTTTTACATTTTTTAAAAATTTATTGACTCTTTTTATCGTTTTTTCTAAAATTTCATGCGACTTTTCGCGACTTTTGTTGTGAATTTATGCAACTAAAGCGATTTTTTTTTGGGTCTTAAAGTCGATCCGAGCCCTGCGATTGCTATGATAACAGTAACCGCATAAATTATTATAACTTAATAATTCGCTAAATTTTAGTTTTTATGGAAAATTATTGTAATTTTCTCGGAAGTTAATTATTTATTTTATTTTTTTATGACCCTCTTACTGTTTTTTACCAATAATATTACATAACATATAATTAAAATATAATAATATAATAATTAAAATATACATAACACAAAAAATTAGATCATTTTCATATTACACAGTATTTTTCTAAGGATATCAAATTGAGACAAAAAAACGTAACAAAAGTGTTGCAAAGTAACGTTTTGTTCCTTTTTTTTTGTCTCAATTTGATATCCTTAGAAAAACTGTGATAATTGTTGTGATGACAGAAATATAATCTTTAAAGGGTAGCTCTTATCGTAGAATCACAGACATGCAAGAAAGAGGAAATAATTGTTTCAAAATAATAACAGTGCTTAAGGCAAAATCCGAAAACATATATATAGGTATATACATACACTAAAAGTTGAAAATGAAAGTTTTGTTTGAATTCTGATTGAATTAATAGTTCTGAGTGTACATGAACTTTCTCAGGAGAGTATAACATCATTCCAATGTGGTTCCTTCGGAAATTGGAAGTTCAGTAATACTGTTATAACATATATATATACGATGATTTGAGTCCCAAGTGATACGTCTATCGTTATCAGTGGTCTCTGGTTTGTCGTTTCGCGGTAACAGTGCTGGTTGGGTGGTGTGTCGTCATTGCCGTTATCTTACTCGTGGATCCCGGAGAGACCAACATTGAGTTTAACTTTCTCTGACTACCTCCGATCATCAACTCATTGAACTATACACGTATATATTTAATATATATCTCTCTCTCTCCCTATGTATATGTATATAATTCTCGTTTGAAAATGGACGAATCTGGGATAGATATGGGTTTTGATTTGGCCGCACTCACCAACGCTGAGGACTTTGATTTGGAATACAACAATGACTTCGAACAGGCATTGTCTCTACTCTCAACGTCACAGGACTTCATGTACTATGAGCTCAAGAGTCGGGCTCCCGATACTGGCAGGTACGTAAATGCAAGAGCGCGATGGCATCATCACACGATGAGCACTTACGCGCCACTCTATCTCTGTCACCTGTTGAATGCAGGGCCGTACTTTTCGCTTTCCCCACAGACGATTGACAAACAATTTTGCTTGTTTTATTTTTTTTTTTATCTTACATTTCATTTATACCCGACGATATATTCGTCAAATTTTCATTTTGTTTTTGATGTACGAATTCATTTTGTGATTAGAATTATTATTTTCAATTGCATTTTAGGAAATGTTTGGAATTGATTGAAATTTTTAATTTAGAGATGATTCAAAATTTGTTTAATAATAATTTACTCTCTAAATCTGAATAAGTGAAAATCCACTGAAGATCAGTGAAATTTGACTGAGAATCAGTGACTCTATTCTCGTGATTTGAATCAGTGAAATTTAACTGAAAATATCAGTTTGAAAATGACTGAAATATCAAATAATTTTGCACTGATTGGACAATTAAAAAATTATTGAAAATTTCTGTCACGCTTATTGAAAATTTCATGGGTATTCAGTGAAATTTCACTGATTCAAATCGCGAGAATAGAGTCACTGATTCTCAATCAAAATTCACTGATTCAGTTTTAGAGAGCAATAATTTAAGTTAAATTCTCTCTAAATTTGAATTAGTTAAAAATAATTAATTTGATAGCAAAAAATCAGTCACTGATTCAAATAGTAATATTTTACTAATGAACTAGTTAATAATGACTAATTATTATTATTTAAATTCACTTTTAGGTTTTGTAAAAATGACTGAAATTTTTAGTGACTAATAATTCAATTATAGTGAAATTTGACTATTTTTGTCAGCCACGATTTTACTAATAATTAGTTATTTTTAACTAATTCAGATTTAGAAAGTACATTAAAAGTTCGTAATAATTAATTGCAAATTTCTGTATTTGCAATTGAGGAAACTTATTTGAATAAAATAATGGATTACTCAACTATTATCCAACATTATTTACTTAAATCAACTATAAATGTTTACTTGCTCTCTAAATTTGAATCAGTTAAAAATAACTGATTTAGAAGCAAAAAGTCAGTCACTGATTCAAATAGTAATATTTCTATTGACAATTAGTTAAAAATAACTGATGTTTCAGTAAATTTTTTTTACTGATTCAATTAGTCAGGTTGAACTAATTTATCAGTTATTTTTTTTACTGAAAATCAGTTGTTTTTAACTGATTCAGAAACAAAAAGTCAGTCACTGATTGTCAGTTAAAACTATAATTTTTAACTGATTTAAATTAAGAGAGTGGAGAGAATAATTTTTATTTTAATCAATTAAACAGTATTTGCTTCAAACGAAAAAATTTTCAGTTCAATTATAGATTCTTTGATTTAAATAAAAATTATTTGACACAAATAAAATATTTAGTTGCAATAAATAATTTTTATTTCAACAGGGTTGCCAAAGGTCAGGGAAATCAGGGAATTTATGAAAAGTCAGAGAAAGTAAAATTAAATGAATTTTAAAACAGTTGTGTTTACAATATTCGTAAATAGATCAACTTCAAAAGGTTTTAATTTGAAATTTTATAAAATTTCAATTTTAAATGAATTTAATAAGAAATTATAAAGAACTTAGATTTCTGAAAAATTTTAATAATTCAAATTCTTCTGAAATTATAGTTAATTTTTTTAAATATATATTTAGTTAATTATTAAAAATAATGGATTTATAACAGAATTTTAGTTATGATGACAAAATATTGAATTTTGAAAAGGTTTCATATTAAAATCTTTGAAAATAAATGATTAAATAGTTATTTAAAAAAGATAATAATAATAATTTTTAAAGTGAATCAGAATATTCTTTAGGGTCAGGTAAAGAGTCAAAATTTTGTCTGGAAATCTGGGAAAAGTCAGGGAAAAAGAAAATTAATAAATTTTTGTGGCAATCCTGCTCAAAAATATTTTCTTGCAATAAATAAATTTTATTTAAATCAATTAAATAGTACTTTCGTCAAACGAAGAAATTATTAATTCAATTACAAATTTTTTGTTTTAAAAAAATATTATTTATTAAAAAATATTCACTTGCAATAAATAGTTTTTATTTAATTTTGATTTAAATAAAAATTACTTACTAAAAAATAGTTACTTGTAATAAATAATTTTTATTTAATTTTTATTTGAAAAAAATTTGTTCCTAAAAATATATAGGGGAATGTAGTCAAGGTTGGCCTACTGTCTAGGTAGGCCACTCGCGTTTTTTTGTCAAGTTCACTAGCGCCACCTACGCGCATTTTTGTCGAAGCTTGTCTTAGTGAAACCTAACTTTTTGTTCAATTACATTTTCGGAAAATCGAAAATTGTGTTTTCTGTGACGTCGGTACAAAAAAAGCTCAAAAAAAGTTTTGTGCATAATGTGAAAAACCATTAATAAAAGATAAAAAACAAATTGAATCGTCAAGGCAAGTATGCAGAAAATTTGTGGGACTCATGGTTGAAAGGAAAACAAAGTAAAAAATCGAATCCCGAAACGTATTTCTTTATTGTTACAACAATTCAAAAATTTTACTTACTGTCAAGGTCGGCCACTATGTGTTTAAAATGCGCAAAGTTGAGGACGAGCTACTTCATTTGCAAAAACTGCAATTCTGTATAACTCATAATATAATTGATCATCTTATTAATATTTTTATTTAATTTTATTAATATTTTAGTGCAAAACTTTTTTTTATTTATATTTATTTTTTTATATTGTTTATTGTTATTATTTTGTTATTTCATTAAGTTACAAACTGTAAACAATAAAGAATCAATTTTCCGTAACTCCAAACATGTTATTTTATTTTTTAACGATTAATGCCCTTTGAATTTTAAACATGGCCGACCTTGACTGTAATGGCCAACCTGGACTACAAATTTTTTTTTTTTTAAATCTTTATAACTTTTTCATTTTTAAACCTGTCAATTTACTTTGTACAGAAAAAATGTTCCTATTAAACAGGACTTTCTAACCATATACTTCAATTGTCCAAATTCATTTTTAAAAAAAAGTTATAAACAAAAGTCAAAAAGGTGGCCGACCTAGACTATGTTCCCCTACTTGCAATAAATACCTACCTAATTATTAATATATTTTTAAAAAAATTTTTAAATTTACTATTTACATGAACAAAGTAGTATTTGCTACAAAAAAAAATATTTTTTTCAATTAGAGATTCTTGAATTTCAATAATTATATATTTGATACAAATAAATATTTACTTGTGATGAATTATTTTTTTAAACGAATTAAATCGTAGGATTTGCAAGAAACGAAAAAGTTATTGGTTTAATGATTGATTCTTTGATTTAAATAATTGTTTGCTGGAAGTAAATATTTACTTGCAATAAATAATTTTTATTTAATTTTGATTTTAAATAAAAAATTTGATGCCAAAAATTTTTTAAATGAAAAACATTTTAAAAATTTGGAGAATCTAAAGAATTTAATATTTTCTCTTGTGTGTTTAATGCTTTTCTAATAATACTATAATAGAAAATTGAAGAAAACAATGAGCATTGTTAAAGTCATCAGAGAAAATTGTAATTACTGCAATTTTTAAAATAAGAATTGTTCTTAGTTGTTATTATTGCACATAAATTGTAGGAGGTTTTAAAATCTTTTTAGGGTCAGTTGTAATGTTATTTTTATATTATCAGTTGATTGCCTTATTACTTTTCAATCTGTATTGTTAAATGTAGAGAAAATATAATTTCTTTTCTAAAAAATATTTTTTTCTTTTTTTAAAAATTTTTTTTCCATTAAAAATGTTATTTTTCTCATAGATTAGAAAATATTAGTTTTCTATGTCTCCATATTAAAAAAGTATTAATTTATTATTTGCTTTATTATTATGTACCTATTTTAATATTAGAAAATAGAAATGATTTAGCAAATGGTATTTTGATTCTTGGAAGTAATAAAAAAGCTTGAAATTTAATTGAAATTTTATTAAATTCCATTCAACGTTAGTAATTTTCTATATATACTGTTCTTTCAAATCATTGCTTGGCAATGACCTTCCGTTAGTTTCATCATCCATTAGTTGATAATTCTCCCAAAAAGAAATCTTAATTGTGAAGTTCCGTAATTCTTATCGATGTTGAACTATTTTTTAGGTTTTGTCAAATAATGATGAAAAGATTTGGCTGTTTTCGAATTGTTAATTGTGGAGAAAAGGAGAGTAGATAATTTCTTTAATTATTACTTTCGATTGTTTTTCGATGAGCAAAGGATAAAAAATTATTCTTCATTATTGTAATTAATAATTTTTAATTATTATCAAAGTTATTAAAGTTATCATCACCCAGAGAAATATTTTTTTTTATAACCAAATATAATATATTTGTGTTAAATAATTGTTTATTTGTCTCAGAGTCTTTTTTTTTTGTTTCAAATAAGCTTTATTTGTCACAAATACATTTTTTGGGCGAAAATAAAATTTTTATTCAAACCAAATCAATTTATTTGACTTAATATTTGAATACCCATATTTTTTGGGCGGAAAAGGAATTTTTTTTTTAATCAAATAAAATTTATTTCAAGTAAATTTTTTTCGAGTGGAAATAAACTTCTTTTAAATCAAAATAAATTTATTTCGGATGGAAATAAAATTTATTTAACTCAAGTAAAATTTATTTGTTTCAAATTAATTTCTGTTTGGCGGGTGAGACAAATATATCTTTCCTCTGGGTGTATAAATTTAATGCAAAGAAACTGAACGAAAAATGTTTGATAAAATAGAAATAGTGTTAATTATTTACTTACATTTTGTATTCATGGTCATCAAGTAAAGCAGGTTTGAGTTTCCCTGTTTTTTGTCTAGACAAGAATCTTGTTTTTCCGTTTAGCGACCGACTTTCTTTTGAATTTCTTTTTGAGGTGTTACACAACCGTTAAATATAGGGATTTTTTTCTACACAAATAAAATGGGAAATTTATTTTAGACATTCTTTGAGAATACGATTGGAACTC